CCCGCACACGGCCTCACCCAGAAAACAGCCCGACCGCCGCCACCGAAAACCAACGCCAAGTCGCGGTAGGGGGCTGGTTGCTGGCTCTTGGCGTCCCTCCCTGCGAGGCGCCGAACCCGCCAGGGCGGCAGCCGAGTCGCCCGCAGGGGTGCGTCCCCGGGGGCGGCCGCGCGCCGCCAGAGGGCCACGGCGCAGGCAACGCCAGAAGGCGCGCCGCAGGGGCGCGGGGCGAGGGAGCGGGGGAAAGGAAGGCAAGGAAGAAAGAGGAGGCGCAATTAAAGAGAGCGGCACGACACACGCGCAGCCGGGGCCGGCGGGGCGCGCCGGCAGCAGCGGCGGCCCCGCGGCGGCGCGGAGACGCCGAGCGGAGGAGGGGAACAGTCGGTGCTCGGAGAAACGCCCATAGAAACGCGAGCAGCGAACGCAAACGCGCAGCAAAAGGGGGGAGGAAAGAAAAAAAAAAGAGGACGAAAGCAATGGGGCGCGGGGCCGGCAGCAGCAGCTAAAAAAAAAAAACACCATCTTGGCAAGCACAACGTGCGGCCAGGCGGAAAGCAGCAAACGCACAAGCAAGAAAGAAAAAGGAAACTGAAGAAACAGCCAGGCCCCTCGCCGCGCCCAAAAACCCTCGGCGCACCCGACGCGCGGCGCCTGCGGCAAAGAAGCACGGACACAATATATACGCATGTATCGACGCGATCGCTCGTAAAAACGCAACGTGCAACAGCGACGCGGAGGGCCAACGCGACGCCCGCGGTCAAGCATCTCCATTCGCGCCGTGCAAAGTAGCCGAGGGACGCGCAGAACTCCAGCAAAGACGACTCCGTCAGGAGAGGCAAAGCGCAAACACGCCCACGACGCAAACGGGGGCCACTGGAAGGCCACACATAGTTCATGCGCCCCGCGCGTGCGCCCGGCCTCAGCCCACAGAAGCCGACTCCGAGGACACAGGGGAGATACGCACCCTCCGCCCAGCCCCCCGCAGCGCAGCTGGGCGCACGTCGGCGGGCCCCCCACACAACTCCCGCGGCGCCTGAGCAGCAAACCCGCTCGGGGACGCAATGGGTTGCAGGCCGGGAACGCACGGCGGCGCAGCCTGCGACACGGAGCAAACGCTCCGCCCCCCACACGTCACACGCGCCGATCCCGTTGACGAAGCGACGGACCGCAAAAAAGAAACCGGCGCACACGGCTCCACGCTTCGGCTATAAACACGGCTGACGCGACGCGCGAGCACCTCCACCAGCGCGCTGCAGTGCTCATCGCAGGACATCGCCCCCCGCTCAACCCCATGCACGCGCCACCTCGCGCAGAGAGACGCAAGAACACCGGCACGCTGGCGGGGAGCATACGGGCTCAACAAACACGAAATAAACCGAACGGATGTGTCATAGCACGTGTTGCGAGTAAAACCGGAGGCATTACTGTCACAGGCACTGGCGTCAAGATCCGCCTCCTCGCCCTTCTCACACCGCAGCGCGGCGAAGGTGCGACCGGGCACGGCGTCCAGCTGGTACATCTCCACCGGCCTCGGCACCCCGCGCAGCGCCACCGCGCCCAGCGCGCTCACCTCCACCTGCCCCCGCTCAGCCGTGCTCAGCGCCAAGTACGCCGCACGCGTCAGCAGCACCTGCCCGCCGTTCCCCACGCCCTCCGTGCGCGCCGCCACGTTCGCCGTGTCGCCGTAGTAGTCGTACCCCTTCGTCACCTCGTCGCGCCGGATGTCGCACAGCCCGGTGTGCACCCCGACACGCACCCGCAGGCCGTTCCAGTGCTGCCGGTACACCGCGGCGTCCAGGCGCGCCGTCGGCGGCACGTACTCCTCCGCGTCCTCCTCCGCCCTGCCCTCCTCGAACTTGCGGTACGCCTCGTCGAGCGCGCCCGTCCCCCAGTCGTGCTGCAGGAACACCTGCTGCAGCTCCCGCACCAGCCGCACCGCCGCGAACGCGCTCTTGCACGCAATCATGAACGAGTCGCCGATCGTCTTCACCTCGTAGCAGCGGTACTTCGTGATCAGCGCGCGGATCAAGCGGT